AGTAGTAGTAGTAGTAGTAGTAGCAGTAGTCGTAGTAGTAGTAGTAGTAGTAGTAGTAGTAGTAGTAGTAGTACAATAGTAGTAGTAGTAGTAGTAGTAGTAGTAGTACTAGTGGTAAAAGTAGTAGTAATAGTAGTAGTCGTAGTAGTAGTCGCAGGGGTTAGTAGCAATAGGGTAGTAGTAGCAGTGAGTAGTAGTAGTATTAGTCGTCGCAGTCTTAGTCGTAGCGTCGTAGTCGTTTAGCAGTAGTAGTATGTACGTAGTAGTTAGTAGTAGTAGTAGCAGTAGCAGTAGTAGTAGTAGTAGTAGTAGTAGTAGTAGTAGTAGTGGTAGTAGTAGTAGTAGCAATAGTAGCAGTAGTAGTAGTAGTAGTACTAGTACTAGTAGTAGTAGTAGTAGTAGTAGTAGTAGTAGTAGTAGTAATAGTAATAGTAGTAGTGGTAGTAGCAGTAGTAATAGTAGTGGTAGTAGTCGTCGTAGTAATATGCGTAGTTGTATGAGTAGTCGTAGTAGTAGCAGTAGTAGTAGCAGAGGTGCTAGTAGTCGTAGTGGTAGTAGTGGTAGTAATAGTATTAGTCGTCGTAGTAGTAGTAGTAGTAGTAGTAGTAGTAGTAGTAGTAGTAGTAGAAGTAATAGTAGTAGTAGTAGTAGTAGTAGTAGTCGCGGAAGTAATAGGTGTAGAAGTATGCGCTGTCGTAGTAGTAGTACTAGTAGTTGTAGTGGTAGTCGTAGTAGTTACAGTAGTAGTAGTAGTAGTAGTAGTAGTAGTAGTAGTAGTAGTTGTAGTAGTAGTAGTAGTAGTGGTAGTAGTAGTAGTAGTATTAGTAGTAGTAGTAGTAGTAGTAGAGTAGTAGTGAATCAGTAGTAGTAGTAGTAGTAGTAGTAGTAGTAGTAACAGTAGTAGTGGTAGTAGTAGCAGTAGTAGTAGTAGTAGTAGTAGTAGTAGTAGTAGTGGTACTAGTAGTAGTAGTAACCGTGGTAGCAGCAGTACGAGAAGTAGTAGTAGCCGTAGTAGGTCGTAGTAGTAGTAGTAGTAGTCGTCGTAGTGGTGGTCGTAGTAGTTGAAAACGTAGTAGTGGGAGTCAGAGTCGCAATAATATCCATATTAGTAGTAGCAGTACCAGTAGTAGTAGTAGTAGTAGTAGTAGTAGTAGTAGTAGTAGTAGTAAGAGTCGTAAGGGTAGTAGTAGCAGTAGTAGTAGAAGTAGTAATCGTCGTAGTGCTGGTGGTAATCGCAGCCGTGCCGGCAGTAGTAGTAGTAGTAGTAGTAGCAGCAGTAGCAGTAGCAATATCAGTCGTATGTAGTAGGTAGTCGTAGTAGCAGACGTAGTAGCAGTAGTAGTAGTAGTAGTAGAAGTAGTAGTAGTAGTAGTAGTAGTAGTAGTAGTAGTCGTAGAGTAGTTAGTAGTAGTAGTAGTTGTAGTAGTAGTTAGTCAGTAGTAGTAGTAGTAGTAGTATAGTAGTAGTAGTGGTAGTAGTAGTAGTAACAGTAGTGATCGTAGCAGTAGCATCAGCATCAGTTAGTAGTAGTAGTAGCAGTAG